AACTGAGAAGAGTAAATCAGTTCTTAGTTGCCTTAATTTTGTTGATTATAAAATTCCATAGTTACAGAACGAGTTTTTGCAATGTAATTGTTGATTTCGTGGATGTTCAAACGTTTACGTCCCCAATGTAAATCTCTGTCAATATAAAACAACCATTGCTTTTCTGTCATTAACAAAGTAACAAGGAATATTGTTATGCACTAGAGTAACTATGAAAACTCTGATTGATTGAGAGAATTCAGTCAGTATATATAGGCTTGTGAAGTTGACATGATAACCCAATATCTGCAGCAGATATTGGGTTACTATGTTGAGGACGGGAAAATGTTTGGCTCTCGGTCATGATCTCAAGTCAAATATTCCCCCTTCTGGCTCTTCCACCCAGTCATTAAGTTTATAAGAGTAGAAGATGAGACACTATAGTCAATATTGCAGCCTCGTTTCTTAACCCTCACCCCACCCCTTAGGATGAAGTATGGGACTTTTCAGTTGCGCCCCAGAAGTTGTACCTAAAGGGCAAAAGTTTACCAACAATGCATCTAACTAAGTCTGGCGAATAGCTTGAAACTTCAGAACAGATTGGATTAAGTCTATTTTGGCCAGAATATTGAAGGTCACTACTAATGACAGCAAATCGTAGTAAAATTATACTCTATCCTAAAAATCTGAAGCAATTGTAGAAACAGTACACTCCAAATACACTGTCTTAAAAAGTTTAGAATTATAAATGTACTTCAATTTGTCTTTGTAACCGACAAGAAAGGTAATTTTTATTGAAAGCTTCGTGCTAAGACCCTCGCTGGTACGTCAATAATAACTTGCTCGCTCTCTAAAAGATCTTTGAAGTCCAATGTGGCAAATATACCTTGGATACAGAAAGGACTGAAATATTTCTTCGTCCCACAACCAGAGCGGGTTAACTTTGTTGTCCTTAATGTCACTTTTCGTTACTAATAATGTACCTGAAAAATTTATGCGCTTTCTGCTCGTCTAAAACGAGTGCATTCTCATGTACCCGGAGTGCAAAGCTGTAATACGAGTGCACATTATAAATAGCGCGCGCACGCTTAAAAAATTCCGTGTGTCTTCACTTTCTGTGATGTTTTTTCATGCACATTCTTAACAAGGAATAACATGATTTCTCTTGCAAGTTGGTGCAATAAGCACTTGTAAATTTAATTTGTTGTCTTTGAAAAACTTTTTCGTTCCTATTAACACCAAATTGCACTCGGAATTATCTTATTACTAATACTAACCGGTAAGTGTAATATCTCAGCAATCTCTAAACCACAAGTCAATAAACACATGGAAGGCCGAAGGACTGCCGGCATTTAGTTTTTAGAGGTTCTCTATGTAAAGGGCATTTTGCAAGGCTGACCTTTAAACTCGTCAAAGCGCCCATCCACAACTTTCAAGAGACTGGCTGTCGTCCAAATGGTAATTGGAACCAGGTTAGTTATCGCAACCAAAATGTGTCTTTTCCATCTTTTGCGCCAAACAGCCATAACTGCTATATTCTGAAAGCGAGTCTCGATGGCCAAGGATATGCCGGTGAAAAACCATTCAATAGCCAGCGGAACAGAGGTATAAACTGCAAATTCCTGAAGTAGCTTCAACAATGAAATGTTTTGTAAGTAAATGAATCGGTATACGTACAACAATCCGTTAACACACACAATAGCAGTTAATTCGTACAACATGCTTATGATAAAGATATCAGCCATTAGTCTCTCACGGCGAGGAGTGCGAAAACTTCCCCAAGGAGCTAATTTTCTCTTCCAGATCACATGACAGATATGATCTATGAAGACCTTGGCGCTTCGTTCCAGGACCTCTACCACTCCGTGGATTATTCCAAGAACAGCGATGAGTGTGAGGTTGTCAAGTTCTGCCTGCATTACTCGAAACCCGACCGCTGATCCAAAATACAACGGCACTAACAAGATGTACGAGTATCCCGGATGAGTAATTCTCTTCAAGCGTTGAGTGCTAAGTCGTAAAATCACCTTAAAGATAACTCCAAAGAGAGGTGAGAAGAGTGCAATGAGGAGTTTTCCATGTTCAGTTTGTTTGTTGTACATTGGATAAATAAACAATGCTGCAAAGATGCCAATAAAGAAAGTAAAGCAGTAGGATGTTGCCAAGTTTATGAATAAACTCACTCTACTCGACAGGCTCCGGAAGTGATCTGTTAGAAGATAAACTTGACAAAATACGCTAATT